AAATAAACTTTTATGGAAGTACTAGCTGTGGTAGCGGTGGAGAATTATACTCTGAATATAGTCAGTGTAAATGCTTGCACTTAAGGCAAGTGTGCAGAATAGGAAAGTCTATGCATCAATTCAGTTTTACAAATATGAACAAGCTCTTGTGCAGGTTTGCTCTGGGAAGTCGTGGTTTTATTAAAAGCACCAAGTATAATTTTCACTTTAATTCAAATTAGATGAAATTAATTAAGCTCTAGTGCATTAGAAAAGGAAACCTAAGAAAATCTTTGGGGGAGTAAAAGAATCAAAACAAATCATTAAACTTTATAAAAGCAATAACCTGTAAAAGCAAATTAAGAGTTCTCTCTCTTTTTTTTTTCCACTTAATGGAAGTACAAGATTTGGCCATAAAGATTAGAATTAAGTTTTCTTGTTCTGATTTATACATTGGGAAAGACTATAAAATATTTAAGCTGAAAAGAATGAGACATGCAATAGCATACAAAAAAGCTGGGTTTATTTAAAAAATACTTTTATAGTGTGAAATATGGTTTTAAGAAATATTTCAGTAAAAGTTTGAAATGGGAAGCTGGTTTTGACTTTTTATCCATGACCTCAAAGGCAGGTGTAGGCTTTTCGCCATAGAAAGGAGAGGAAGAAGGATATATTCTAGGTGGTAATTTAGAGCCTCTGCTTTATTATCTTCAACTATATTTTTCCTTTGACCATAATACAGGGTTTTTTTTTCTACAAACAGGGTTTTCTATGGCCCTAATACAAACCAAACATAGTCCCATTTAATAATTTGACTGTGTCCATTCCCTCTCAATCGGGGAGACAGTCTTCTGTGGCTCCCAGCAGTAGTCATAGAATCACAGAATGGTTTGGATTGGAAGGGACCTCAAAGATCATCTAGTTCCAACCCCCCTGCCATGGGCAGGGACACCTCCCACTAGATCACATTGCTTAAAGCCTCATCCACCCTGGCCTTGAACACTTCCAGGGATGGGGCAGCCACAACTTCTCTGTGCCCAGAGTATTTGTTTACCATTATGGTTTGGGTGTTGTCTTCATGACCGTTTCACATTTCTTTTGAGAATGGGCGTTGAAAAATGAAAGGCTGAAAAAAATCTCTTCTAAAAAAAACCTACTGTACTTCCTCAGAAGTTCCAGGGACTGTTACTTCAGCAGGAAGGAGGTGCAGATTTTTGAAGGAAGTACAGGTTTGCAGATGAAGACTATGCCGAGAGATGTTGTTCTGCAAGTCAAACCTCTGTCTCGGTAAGGTCGAGTGGATGGACAACACTGGGGCCTCCGTCCTGCGGCTGGGCAGCACGGGCACCGAACGGCGCTGGGGATGTAATTCATTCCTCTGAAGCTGATCCCTTTAACAGTCTCTTCAGCATTTTCTGTTGAAATTTCATTAGATTTCTTTTTTTTTTTTTCTCAGCTCTGCTTGCGTCTTTTAAAGTAAAGCTTTCTGGTTTTTTAACTGAAAACATTAATGATGGATGGATAGTGTACCATCCAAAACACTCTTGAATTTAGAATGAGAACGGGTTTGGGGCTTCCAGGTGTTGTTGAAGAAGAGTTATGTTACACACAACGCAGCCTTCTCTCCTGCTGAGTGCAAGGCTTCACGTTTGGTCAAGGTCTAGTTCAACTGGCTGAAGATTTGAATTTTTAAATTGATGAACAGACATTTAAGATTAAAAATAGAAGCCTGCGTGCTTATTGTTCCTTGGCTGTTTGTACTCTTGCTCTTTTGGCAGCCAGAGGGTACTTGATGGCAGTGAAACCACCATCCAATCTTACACGGGAAAGAACAAAACTAATAATTTATTACTTTAAGCTGTATTTAACTAAAGAGAAAAATAACGTTATTTTTCTACTTTGCTATCTGCAGCAAAGAACATTACCCAAGCACCACCTAAGACTTTTAATTTATTTTTTAAAAGGTCTTTTAGTCTTTTATCTCAAAAACTGATCACGTTTACAGATACTCAATGTCAATAAGTGTAAATGTGGATACAAAAGAAGTACTGTTATTTTAGAAGTTTTTAACAACAGTCTTTTAGAAGAACAGCTGCTTTGTGAATCGCAGCGTGACAGTCCCATCCGAGCAGCGATGGCTTGGCAGTTCCCAGTACTTAAATGCCAAAATCGGCTGAACACGGATGCTTTTTACAAAGAACTGTTACCTCAAAGTTCATCTGCACGAACTTGGAGCTGGCATTTGGTGCAAGGAGAAGTTTCCAGCCCCGGGTCTGCACTGAGCAGTCGTGCCTGTGGTGACACTTTGGGCAGGTGGATGGAGAGCTGCTGCCATTCGAAGGTAGCAGCTGGAGGTGTGAGTGGGTTCAGAGCCCAGGTTCAAGCAGCGTTGGAAACTTGGCCCCAAAAATGTCTTTTAGAAATCAGATACCACAAATTAGTTCATACTCATGAAAACTCTTTTTTTAGAGAGTCTTAAGGGATTTTTTCCCCTCCATGTAAGGGTCCTTTGTCTTACAGTTGCCATACATTTATTTTCATCATACCCCTCGCTAGAAGTTAAAAAGTATTACTTGGAAGCATTATATACTGAAAGAGGACACAGTGTGGCAATGGATTAATGTCTTTCAGGGAAATTTAGTAGAAGAGAGAGGCTAAAAATCCCATGGGGATATTTGTTATGGATGACTGACTGTAGGATGGTTGTACGAGGGCTAAGGAAATCTGCTGCCTGTTGGAATCGAAGTCAGAAGGTACAAATTTACTGTAGATTTCACTTATAACTTGTACAGTGCTGTGGGTGAATAATAACTGTGTTAATTGTTATCCTCTGCTGGAACAGAACTTTCTGAAGGACACTAAATGTACTCAGGAACACAAAAGATCAATGTAGTAAAAGCACTAATTTTTTTAGTACCTAGTGTGAATTAGACTTATTCTTGATGATAGGTACTTAGAAAAATGACTGGAAAGAATATGAAAACCTGTGTATGCTTAGTGGGTGCCCAGTAATTACCAGCAGCTATCAGACTTTCTGAACTTATGAGGATAGCAATCTTCAATTTTATCCAGATATGTCAAATGCAGAAAAAAAGTAAATTTATGTCATGCTGAATAAACATGTAACATCATTATCTCCATCAGCTTTATTTGGGGAATTTGGCAACAACAATGAAGATGAAATAATGTGTTTTGACAGTATGCACAGGGGATTTGAAGAAAAAATAATGGGATTGTGCAGAAATTGTCTTCTGAGTAATGCCTGTATGCATTTGTGTGAACCGAATCGCTTCTGAATGTTTTGTTAGAATTTCTTCTTTGCAAATATATCTTACTGCACTTTTTGTACCTCACTTATTAGGGAAGGTGAAAGCTGCCAGTTGTTACTGGAAAATAAGTTTAAATATCATTAGATAATTACAATCTCTAAGCATTTCCCATGAAATATTCCATGAAATTCCAGGAAACTCATCTTTTTTTCTACATACCTGTATTTGTTTGATCTTGACAACACCAACACATGTTTACTATCGGATGTTTCCTTGTCTATGTGGAAGAAGTTGGCCTGTTACCTTCTGTGAGGTTGTAAAGACCTTTTGAAAGAAATATGGATATTCTACAGCATCACAACAAATCTACCATAGAGAAAACCAATTTCTATGTTATGAGGGGAAGGTCGAAATGTTTGGCTTTTAACGTTTAACTACGTGGATTAAAAAAAAAATCTTCTGTCATTTTAGAAAAAATTAATTTAGTGAGGTCCAATTTGTTGAGAACTTGTTGTTACCTCAGCTTTATTAAGTTATCTAAGGAGCGCTACTCGTTAAGACAAGGAAAAGTAAGGGGAAGGAAAAAAAAACTTTAAAAATATTAATTAAAAAAAAAAAAGGTTGAAAAATATTGTTCCATATCAGGGATGCAGAACGGAGCAACACAATCCTTACCTCAGCTTTATTAAGTTATCTAAGGAGCTCTACTCATTAAGGAAAAGTAAGGGGAAGGAAAAAAACTTTAAAAATATTAATTTAAAAAAAAAAAAGATGATGATAGAAAAATATTGTTCCAGATCAGGGATGCAGAAGGAGCAACACAATCTGATGTCCATCCAGGCCTTCTGTTATTACAGATAAACTAAGATGTCTTTATCAATGAATGCACTATAAATATTTTGGAAGCATTGTAAGGAAATCGTGCAAGCGTACCTTCATCAAGATTTTTCAGAAGTTGCTACTTGTTGTAGTGTTTTAATTTTGGCATGTCTTATATGAAATAAATTTAAGGGAGTATGATTTTCAGAAAATGCTGAAAAGTCACATGGAAAATGCAGTGTCTTAAATTGTCATAATTTTGAAGTCTTAAAGCCACCTCTCTTTTCAAAAAATACTCATTTTTATAGTTTTGTAGCTGGATTGATAGCTATCCCCCTGAAGTTCTGAACACTGGTAGCATTTTCCATCTGTTTGTGCAGCTTGGGCAGCGCCCGGAAGGTACACAGCTAGAATTTATGGCATTTTAATTCTTGCACAGCAAATTGCTGACCTCTTCCTAGGACACAACAGCCGAAGGTCCGTATAGAAAGAATCGCACAGGGCGTTGCGGTGCAGCGTTGTGGTCACCAGGCACCCACTCTTACCTCCCTGGGGTGCTAAACCCAAGATTTTGATAAAGGAGAGGTTTAGTATAAAATAAAAATTTTAAAACTCACAGAAGAATGGGATGATTGCGCCCATCTCCCGGTCATTTCAAGGGGAGTTACGAGTTAGCGGTGGCTCTCACGGTTAACCTGCTCATGGTGCGGCATCTCTTTGTCCGTCTTATTTACAGGCATTATTTTTGGCATCAGAGGATGGTCCACTCGTTATCCTTTTAAATACTCCTGCTTTAGGGAACCTTAGTGTTTGTTCTTGATTTTTCATGATCGTAAAGATCTCATAAAATAACGTTTTCTAAATAAAAAAAATCCAGAAAGACAGCATATTGAATCTTGTAAGAATAAGATGCAATTGTTTGATGTGCTACAGGTGTCAGCCTTTGGAGCACGTGTCGGAAGCAACGGAAGAGCTGCTGGAGGCAGCCCCGGGGGACAGACGGGAGTCCGACAGCCCCAGGAGCGCGGGGGCTGCCCTCCCCTCCCTGTGCCTCAAGCAAGTCTTTCCCAAGTACGCGAAGCAGTTCAACTACCTGCGGCTTGTGGACAGAGTGGCTGCCTTGTTTATCCGGTTTCTTGGTGTAAAAGGGACAACGAAGTTGGGGCCAACAGGTTTCCGAACGTTTATAAGGTTAGTAAGGAGAAGGTTTCTTCCGGAATGGCTTAAAGTGTTGTCAAGAAGTTGGAAACTCCCGATCCCGTGGGGCAGCACCGCTGTCCCTGCACTTATACTACGTTTTGCTGAACACAAGCAGGCCCTAACGCTGGTACACTTCCAACTTGTATGTTTAGTAATGCCTTCTAAAGAAACTTTTTCCCATAACTTCCACTGAACCCTTGCATATTTTTTATAAAATAGATACGTTTTCATCATTCCAAGCTCCCAGAATACCTGACCGATGAAACTGTGTCTAGCAGGAACCCGGGTCTTTATTCTACAGCAGATCAGTGATGCTTTTGGAAATGCTATTTGCAGTCTTAGTGAACATGTCATGTTCCTGGTAAATCGTAGGAATGCCACTGTGAGAAAGTGACAACCGAAATTGGGTCGCTCGAGCTCTGATTCTGCTGGCGGGGGGGGCACAGCCATCTGCCCCGGGCCACAGGAAGGGCCTTTCAAATGCCAGTTGCTGCTGCCTTGTGCGCTAAGGATTTGCATTGTGAAATTGCAGCTTGCAATGGCAAGGAACTCAATTTATTTTTTCACATACTTTTTATTTGTGAGGGTTTTTTTCCCCATTGTTTTTTATGGCTATATCTGTCCTGGTCATGGTACAAATATCTCATTTTCTGTCTTTCATTGACAATGACAAAAGAAATAAGCAGCAGCAGATGTACTCTTAAAATACAGATCCTGTTTCTGTGCAGAGGCATTTAGCATTCAGGAATGAATATAAACAATTTGATTTATACAAATTACGATATATAGAAAATGACTGAAGGCATCTGCTCTGTCCACAGACCAGTACAGGATTGCTTCCAGTTCTTTGTTTTCCGTTGTTTAGTCCAGCCTTAATTTGGCACTTGTAAGAGGAACAGGGAATAAATGCCAACATTTTCTTTTAAGAATATTAAATTAATTTGTCATATCTCAGTGAAATAGTGTTTGCAGTTTCCTAATGCATTATTGAATTAAACTTTTTAATATTGGTAAATATTTTGGTGGGTTTTTTCCCCAGAGGATCTATACCAACTATATGGCCTTTTTCTGAAATGCTGTCATTACTACTCATTTCAGAAATAAGGTTGTGGTACACAAGTATGATTTTGTGTGTATGTGCGTGTGGGCAAGTGGTTGCAGAGACTATCCATTCAAATTTTAGCTAATCAAAATCTGTTTCCCTTCGATAACTTCTTCATTCTAAAAAATAACTACAAGGAGAACGCCATACGTGGCTCCAGTCCTTGCTTGGATGCTGCCTAAGATTTTTTTGGGACTATCTAGGCCAGACTTTAACTCTCCATTTTAAGGAAGCTCTGCTTAGGCTACTGAAGAGTAAGATTATTTTAAATTATCTGGGGTTTGTTGTTGGTTGGTTGGTTGTTCTTTTATTTCTTTTCTGGCAAGAAATTGTGGCCAGCTCTTTGGTATGTGCACTAGTTCCAGCCAGGCTGCCAGACATCTGGAAATCCTGGACAGATGGCTACTTCTCATAAATTGATCAGCACTACACTGCAGGCTCAGACCACACAAGTGTCAAATCTCCTACATGTGCTTATCACCAAATGCCCGAGATGCACCCAGAGATGCTGCTGTTTTCCATGCAGCGTTCCGTAACGCAGAGGGTAAATCTGTTCAGTGATATGGCACGAAGAAGTTCTCTCAGGTGCCCTTGGAGAATTTTTCCTAACTTGGAAGTTTGGACGTAATCAGAATTTCTTCTTTTTTTTTTTGTCTATTTGTAACAGAAACTGCAAACTGAGTAACAGCAATTTTTCAATGGCTTCCGTAGACATCTTATATATTGATATCACGAGAAGGTGGAACAGCATGGGAATCGACCACAAAGAATCAGGTAACACTGTTTTGTCTTTGAAGACTATGGAAGCTGATTTCTTCGTAGTTTTGGTAGCTCAAGCACACCTCAAACGTTCAGCAGAAATAATGGGGACAAGGCGTGTACATCTGAGGCATGTACGTGCACAACCAATTCTTCCGTGTAGTTCTGTGGCAGTTTCAGTTTATCTATAGAATAGATCATTCTTAGTTTTCAGTTTATTATTGGAACAAGCCTTCTGCAAGCCCCTTTTTATGGTTGTGATTTTGCATTCGTCATTCTTGTTGCCATTTGCAGAGAAGTGTTTCAAAACATTCCCCGTGGAACCTCCAGCGCAATTGCAGTGTAAGAAGGTATGTCCATGTTGGAGGAGCTCACGTGGGCTGGTGAAAACCAAGCAAACAAAAAACTATGCAGGAGGTAGAAATAAATACGCTGAAATTCTTTTTGATTTAATTCTGTTCCCCAGAAAGGCTGCTTTGGGGACAAACAAAACTACCTGTATTACTTTTCCTTTCCCAGACAGTTCCCCCCTCCAACAGTACACTCCCTTTTTTCATTTTTTGTCTTTGTGATGGGTGAGGGAAGGACACAAGTTTCTGCACAAACTTGCTCAGTGCTTGTTTATTGCGTAGGCTCTTACTAAGGACGAGCAGCAGTGCCTTTTGGTCCAAGTACCCCTTACTGGAAATTGTGCTCCTGTTTGTTCATACAGGAGCATGAGCCAGTTAAGTTGTTTTCAAACACTTCTACATCCAAATTAGATTGTAATGGTCAGTGTAAGGGTGTACTCAGAGTGGCTGAAAGGTTTTTACAAGAAATTCCTCTAGCCCAACAAGGACTCCCTTGTCCTGTGGCTTCTTTCCTTCAGCTTCCCAGAGGCACCTTGTGCAGGAGGTGCCAGGTCCCTACCAGAGCATCCCACTCCAAGGCCCTTCCATTGAACAGGAGAAACGTCGCAAGTCATTCATCCAAATTATTTACTTCTGTCTTAGGGATATGCATTGAAATTAAAATATAGCACTTAAAGATGTTCACCAAGAACAGAGGCTATGGGAAGTTGTTTGCTAAACAGCAGTAAGGATTTTCTACAGTTTTAAAGCCAAAAGGAAAATGTTTATTAAAATATGTGATATTATTCCCCGCTTCTTTGGTCATTTACTGTGTTACCATCACATATCTTCCTGATAGTGCAGTTGAGTGGCTGCAAAAATGAATATAAATACTCTCCCGTTACACAGTCGCATTTAGAATATTAAGCTCTTACATGAAATTCTCTTACAATTTAATAAGCAGGCTGGAGGCAGAATTCCATCCATGTCTTTGGTTTTCTGTTTAAAATTTGATTACATTGTTTGGGGTTTTTTTCTGGATTTATACATAAACATGAAAATCAGTTTCATCTCCTGAAAAAAACATCTCTCTGCCCAAATCCCAACTGTTAAAGTCACATTGTTCAGTCTGAAGTTACAAACTGTCTTCAGTTTACCTGTTCCCACAGTGGAGTTTGTCCACGTTCGCTTCTTGGGCTTATGAGACAGATTTTTCATAAATTCCTTTCAAGGGAAAACAAACTAATTGAAATGTCAGTGTTTTCATCTTTTGTGAGTTTGGCTCTTCTGCTCACACTAAAGGGCAGGCGTTCTCAGATGGAATTGCTTTCCTGCAGCGAGGAGTGTTACAATAACTTTGGATCCGCGCTGGTAACCCTTGGACCCCCAGAGCTGACTTTGTACGTGCAGATCAGTGAGATAACTTTCTGATGTAAATATTTTCCATGCTGAAGTTTAGAGAAGATTTCTCTCCACAAACAAACTCTTCGAACCTAGTGTTTCTAAATGTTTGAATGTATAATTTTTTGCTAAGTGGTAGCACGCTATTGCTGCAGCATTAAAGGACTTGGCGGTACCGGATGCTGGAGATAATACCAGGATGCTCCATTTTCTGCTGCCTAGTAAAAATTGCATTTGCATGTTTACCTGAGCTTGCTAAAGAAAATTACTTGCTTGTGCGAATAGCTGATTACTAAACATCAACAATGAGGTTCTTCTGTTGACTATCTTACGGACTTAGGTTTTTAAAGCAAACATATTTGCTTCATAAATATTTCTGAAATATTATTGAGGTGTTTGTAGGGTAGACATCACTAGGGCAGCAGAGCATTGCATGAGGAGCCCAGATCTGCTTCTAAAAATCCCTACTGTGCAGCCCAGCTCTAATCTTCACCATTTAATATATAACTTAATTTCTAAAATTGCCATTACATTTCTATATGAATCTTAAGTCCATAAATTTGGCAATTTTTCCATAGCTTTTGTAAAATTTTGAATAATTTCAGTTGTGCTAATATTCCAATCTTAACAACAAGAAGTTGTTTCTGACATTTTTTTTTTTTTTAGCCATTTATAGCAGGGAAACAGCAGCTGGAGTATTCTGGAAGATTTTAATACTACTGCTCCTCGTGGCTGTCAAGAAGGATTGTCAAGGTTCCATTTCAATGAGAGTGGGATAAAGAAACCCACCTCGATGCTGCTGGTATAAACTAGCATGCTGGTCACAGCTGCAGCTGGCATCGTCCCAGAAATTGGTTCAAAATACATTTTTATATAAGAAGCTGAACGTGGACATAAATGTAATATACTTCTGCATCTTTTTTAAAAAAATGCTGAGATAGCAGAAGAATCCAAATTCTCAAAGTTGAGATTGACTTCTGTACTTGTTATCCCACCCCCCCTAAAATACATCTGTAGTTCTCTCCTGCATAAACATCAAGAATCAGTCATACACATAGTGATTTGTGAGAACGTGGTCAGGTATGCCAGCAATAAAATTATTTGTATATAACCCTTTTTTGAATATTTGAACTTGCTTCAGAAATGTTAATGAAGTTTGTGTTTGTATGAAATAGATAAGCAGTATTTTGTTTTGCTTGAACATGGGTATCCTATAATGTCCTGTAGAGGCTGTGCGGATGAAGTCAGGTAAGGCAAAAGGAGAATAAGTAAAATAGAGTGTTCAGGTGGCTGATAGAAAGAATAAATCCAGATCTGAGATTAGAAGGGAGAAAATGAAGGTATAGTGCAGGGTACTTAAGTAGGGTAGGGTCATCTTAGTTTCACAGGCATGTAAAATTTGAGTATTTCCGTTTAGCATTTCGGAGCGGGTATAAGTCATTTATGTGGTTAGCTGATAGACTTTCACTAGCAAAAATAATACAAGTGCAAGTGAATCTTCAGGCTTTCAGAAATGAAGAGATATGTTGAGAGTTGCAATGAACCAGATGTTTTCTAGGTGTTAAAACACAAAAACTCAACCATTTCTGTTGGCTTTGCGTTTGGCAGCTGTAACCAGTGCAGTCACTATTGCTGCTGTTGTGAAACAGCAGCTTCTAACTTTTTTCATTAAATGCTTCACATGAGTGTCACTTACGGAGGAGAAAGTGTGTATGCTGCCAGAGGTGCTTTCCCTGCCTGCAGCTCACCATGACTGATAAAATAATTTACTGAGCTGGCAGCTGCTGCTTCCAGATAACCCAACAATTCCTTTGCAAGCTGTTTTACAGCCACGATCGTAAGCGACCCCAGCTGCAGCCTTAGTTGAGAGAAATTATACTTCAGAATGTAATTGTAATGTTTTGAAAAGGTGCCTTTTCTGCAGCATCAATAGGCAAACATTAAGTTAAAAAAACCAAACCTTTCAATATCTCATCCTAAAATAATCTTCTTAAGTGTATGTTCAAACTGGGAGAGCCAGTTAAAGCACAAAGCAGATCTAACTGTTCCTGCTTGCTGGCATTCTGCAAAACCGATTGTGGTCTGGCTTCTTAATTAAGAATTAAAGTAGGTATTACTTCAAGGTTTTAAATACAATAATTAGTGTTAATATGCAGCCCCTCTTTCCATTGGCTGTGGTAATGTGTGATTAGTAAGATGTGATCGAGCAACACCTGAGGAGTTGGCACGGCAGCATGGGGCTTCTGCAGGGCACTTTTGTTTGTGAAGGGGCAGAGCAGAGAGTTTTATTATAGCAGAGAGATTTTTTGGCACTGCACCACTTTCCCTTCGAATACACTTCAGCTGTTTTTCAGTCAGTTGAAGCAAAACTATTGTAGAGTTACTGGGTATGGCTGAAAAAGTGGCTTCTTTGCCTTCAAAAGGAAGGCCAAGGATTCTTACCTGGTACAGTCTTTGCAGAAGGAAAGCAACACTTCACATAAACTCACTTCTGCGATAAGGTGATACTTGGTAATGGGGTTATCTGTGTGGTGCTACAGACTGAAATGCCATGCTGTTTCAGTAGTTCTACATTTGAACTTTTGTTTTAGGTCCATCTCTAAAAATACAATGTTTAGATGCCCCAATTCAGATGCTGATACAAACTTGGTTTTCTCTCCAGATGGATTTTTTCACTTGAAGCTCAATATGTTGCCGTGTGTCTGATTCCGTTTCGACTTAATATTCGAGGCAGCGGAAATCAAGGCTGATGTTACACCGATTTAATTGTATAGGATCTTAAAATCAGTTGTTGCTGTGCTGGTTTGCCACTGGATGCCAGGCTGCTGGTCAGGCTGATGTCTGGAAAACCAGTAACAGCCTCAGTGACAGGGAGTGTCACCTGTCTGTAACCCAGCCTGGGCTTACCCTGTACTGAAACGCTAAATGAGCTCCTGCCTGTGATACATTCAAAAACCAAGAGAAGGTTTTATTTGTAAGACAGGCTGTTTCCTTTCCTAGTGAGCATTCTAGATAGCTGCTGTTTTAATTAAAAGATGTTAACTAACACGACTGTATGTGTCCACACCAGCACGTAGGCATTTGACCTCGGTGCTAAAGAAACAAGAGATACTATTATGCTTAAAGGATGCAGTTTGCTAGGGAACACTGTGCTGTGAATCTCCTATAAACACCTTTTCCTTGCAGGAATGTGTTTGCAAGCCTTTGTCGAAGCTTTCTTCTGCCTGGCTCAGAAAAAATACAAGTCCCTCCCACTTCACGAGCAAGTGGCATCGCTGATTGACTTCTGTGAGTATCACCTGGCTGTGCTGGATGAAAGGCGCCTGGTTTGTGGCCGCGGGACCGTGGAGCGCCGAAGTGCAGTTGTTCCTTGTCAGACAGATGGACTTCACCTTCCACCAGCTGCACATACACCCCTCCTGAATCGCACGGCCACGGCTAGTAAATTTGCAGATTATAGAAGTCATCGCTAGTAACGGGGCTGATTCACCAGGACAGAACTGAGAATTAATCCCCAGACACGTACGTGTGCTGCAGGAGGAGAGACAGGCTCTTGAATTCCTTCATCTGACAGTCACAATTACTTATTTTGGCTTTTTTCATTTACGCTCTTCAAAAAGTCTACTGCAAGCTCCTGTTCTCAAATAACGATCCTGCGATCCTGGCAATGGCTGTTTATTTGTCTCTCTGCTGCACCTACGGTACACCTCACGTGACAAGTTGTGCTTTCATCCCGAGTGAATGGAGAACCACCTGTGAAGACAAGGACCAAAATCCCGCGGGATGATAACCAGCATCATGGGGTCGGTTGCACTCATTGAGAGACACGTTCATATTGAAGGAATTGCTTTGTATGCACTGGATTTATCCTGGAAACCAAGTAAGGAGCTGCAGTCCCGAATACCAGTTGTGGACTTGGGAAAACTGACACCTGGAATTATGTTTCTGGTCAGACGTCAGGTTTTGTCCCCCGTCTTTCGGTGGCTTGGACTGTACGTGTTGGAATCAATACAGATTTGGTCGTTATCTGTGTACTTATTTTTTACAGTCAGACTTAAAACACTGAAATCATATTTTGGCTTCTACTTCTTTGTAAACGTCTTTGCCATGACAAGTACTGTTAATTTTTCAAAGAAAAACTAAAGATGTTTGTCCTTTTGCTTCCACAGAACCAATAGGCTCACACTTATTCACGGGAAAAATTTACTCATTAAGTCAAATTTGGTGAATCAAGTGGTGGTTTTGTCTTCAGGTACTAAGCACTGCTTCTGCAGAAACCTTTACAGTGTAAAGGCCGAACAGTTCCTTTAAATTCTGGTGAAACCAATCCTGTCACTGACTTTAGGCTAAACTGCTCGTTTCTAGGTTTGCTTATTTTTTGCATTTTGTGTGTTTGTTACCCTATTTGGACCTGCAGTAACATCTAGAGCAGATTTCTTTTTGTCTTTGCACATATTCTTCATTTTTTCCCTTAATCACAATATAACTCTGTATAAATTAGTCTACATTATTTAACAGGATATTTTGTCCAGAAAGCTGGGCTATACCCCTGGAGTTGTACAGAGTAGTCTCTATTTTTCAAGAAATGCTCCACGACTTCCATAATCACACTCTTCTTGCGGGGGCCTAAGCGGAACGTGAGACTGACTGAAAGGACATGAAAAACTCGGAACTTCAGGGCTGTCCAGTCAAATTCTTTTCAGTCTCATATTTTATTACAATAATCTATGCCTACATCTGAATTGGGTTTTCCTCCTTTGTTCTATTCTTTAACGTTAATGAATCTGCTTACGTTCCAGTGTTCTTCACGCTGTCAAAAATCGCGAGGCTGTTGGATGACACAGCGTCTGGGCGTTTAGGTTTGGATTGGAGAAAAATACCTGAGCTCGGTGTCTCCGTGTTCCCATGGCTGGTGGATCAGAAACGTGACCTTAGGGGAGGCACACTGCCAGTGTGGAGGGAGTCCACCCATGTCATGTCACGGACTAAACGCGCACACGGTGTTGAGTTTTCACTTCAGGAGAAGTTCAGAGTTTCTTTTCCCAATGTTAGTCCGAAGCAGCATGCGTTTGTCCTGGATGGCAGTCAGCAGCATGGCAATACAACGCAGAAGTCAAGCTGAGCCCACAAGAAACTAAGAGCTAGCATGTGTTAATACCAGGTGTGGGCATCCCTTCTTCTCTTTGTCTCCTTCTGTAACACCAATAGGGTGGTAGCAGATGATCTTTTTTAGTTCAATGGCTAGACTGTTTGAAATTTTATGTATTGTACATAAGAGGACAATTGTAGACTAATGCCACTGCCCTCAGCCTTGTTTAAGTTTCATAAAGATTATTGCAGTATGAAGATAAAATGCCAAACTCCAAGGTCTGGCATCTGTCAGAACAAATGAAGCTGAAAGGGTCGGGTTTTTTTCACACTTTGATTGTAATATATTTGAAGACATTCACAAGTTGAAAAATGGTTACTTCTCATTTTGTGACATCTGACATTTGTCTTGCGATTGGCAGTGTGTTACTAGAAAATAGCTCACGGTTTCTCTCATCTCGTGATTGATGTCCTGTAAAGACAGAGTTACAGAAGGCAGGATTTGAAATGCTACGGCTGCCAATGCCTTTCCTTACAGCTTTCAAGCAGTACTATCTATGGCCTAAAATATCCAGGGTTTGCCACTGTGTAAGATACCCTGGCATCAGTGGAATAAATTAACTGTTGTATACAATGAACACTGGTAAGATCTCTCTCTATTTTGGAGATCTTTATATTCTCTGGATCTAATACAGATTTTTTATAGCCTGTGCGTACGCAGACTGGTGCAGTATGCCCCGTTTATCTCCCACTTCAAATATGAAGAGTCCCTTGTAGAATAGTCAAAATATTCAATTATCTGCCTCTAGTAATCCAGTGTTCATGTATTTATGTAATTGGAAAATTGAATGCCATGTTATCCTCGGGAGGAGGAGGGGGATAAAACAGGAGTGTACTTTAGAGACTTAATGACAAAGTCACATTTCTCTTCCCTCCCATCTAATGCAATTTCCTCTGAAAATTATTTAGCATCCACAGCAATTTCACGTAGCCTTTTAGTAACCAGTCTGTGCACAGGCAAAAAAATGACCGGAGACACTCTGTTCAGAACATGAATGCTAATGCACTGATAATCTGTTAATCCTGAAGCACCTTTCTAGAAAAAGAAACAAACGTGAAAGGTAGTAAGTGTTGGTTTTTTAATAGTACTTTTCTATATATTCTTTTCAGAGAGTATCACCGCACTCACTATTCCATTTATGAGCATATATGATATGACCATTGCATACCAGTGAGGTCTTTCTCGTTACCAAACGCACTGGGTCTGGTATTCCTCACTGGGTGTAAGTCAGAATAAAACACTTAAACATCTAAGGAAGATGGGAGGCAAGTGAGTCCAGGATTTCAGTCCAGACATCCCCCGTCCCTGCAGGCTCGTGTCCAGCCTGAACGTGCCCAAACTCACTCAGTGACTTCTTGTTCGATTTTGAATTCTTTTTCTGCATAAAGCTGTTGTAGGCTCAGTCACCTGAGATCTGCCTTCTGCCTAATCTGGATTCGGCTCCTGAAACTTAATTGCCCAAATGCCCGACTTGCCCCGTTACAGCATGTTTTGAGAACACTTAATGTCCACCAAGCAGATTGCTTCTCTTGCCACATGCTTCTAGACACTTTCTTTTAAAACACAGATGGAAAGGGAGGTGCTCACTAATTACACAATTAATGCTCAAGTGAGAGACCCAAGTCCACCTGCTTCAGCATTGGTCTTCTCAGCTGGAGCTCCTGCCCCCGTGCCAGGCAGGTGATTCCTATTTACCAGCTTCACCCCCTTGGTTGTGTTAGTCTGGTGTTGAGCCTGTCCTCAGGAGGTCAAGGCACCCTTCCCAGAGACGGGCAACAGCGGTTTGGAAGCCCTTGTGATGAGGAGGAATCTGATCCTCCTCCTGCCGGATCCTCGTGCAGTTCAGCGACAGCAGGGTAGGTGCATGTCCTCGTGCTCTGGGTGTGCGACTCGGAAGGGGCCCGAGCCTCTGTGGTGTTTTTTGGGGTTGCCAAGGGTGTTGCTCCTGTGCTGCTGGATGTGGGAGTCCCTGGGGCTCTGCCGAGGCTGCAGGAAGAGCTGCTGCAGGAGGAGCAGCTGCCAGCTGGGTCCTGCCAGGATGATGCCTCTGCTGTCTCGTATGGGAGCAATGAATGACTTTTGTACTTGCGGTCCTAGCTCCTTGTTTCTAGACAGCACGGTGTCTGACCTTACTCTGATCTCTGATGGACAGTGACAATCTGCTTCTAAATATTACCCTGCTCCCTCTAAATTAGTTTGCTTTTCCATCATGCTTTGCTGTGTTTCCTCCTAATTCCGCAGTTTTGCTCTCAGCTTGCCTAATAAACTGCTGTGGTCTGATTCTGGCTGAATCCATTAGTTCAGCTGCCAATGCTGCTTCTGGAAGATGCGTGTGTCTTTGTTTTGAAGGTGAATCCATCCCGCGTTGTCCCTTGGAGGTGCTACTGTGCATCAGCCTCTGCTGAGTTGATGCATCAATTCCAGCTTTTCCCTGTGCATTATCAGTGGATCGATCTTGGCAGCTTTGTCGGTGGGTGCGGACCCTCCAGCCCCCCTCCTCTCGGTCCCACTGCCCTGGACGCGGTGGTTCCCAGAGCGTGGGCTGCCTTTCGGTGTCACAGCGCAGAAATGTGCAATAAATCACTGCTTGGTCAAGTCCTGCCCCAGCAGACAGAGCCCCATGGGCTTCCCAGAGCAGCCCAACGCGTGGGAATCTCCATGGGCATCCCTGCCCGGCTCGGCCATGGAGGGAGCGGGGCTCGATGTGGAGCTGGAGAACCCGGGTGTGGGCAGGAGGGGCTGTGGGGTGCTGGGGAGCGCAGCGAGGTGAGGCAGTGAGTGATCTGTAGTGGAACATAAACAGATCTTTGGAAAAGTGATTTTATTCTTTTTTTCTCCCTCTCTGCTCACCCATTGCCCTCTCTGTTTTAATTAAAGAACTTCACTTCGTTTATTTTTCTTGAAACTCTTGTTCTCAGAGCTTTTAACTTTTGTGGCTTTTCCCCCTCTACTTTTCCCTTTTATTTTCCTACTTTTCCCTCCCTTATTGTCATGATGAAGGAGAGGAGAACCGAACCTCTCACCTTCCGTCTCCCAATCCTGCTTTTTTGGTGTTAGCAAGAAGTTAGATTATTGAACTCTACAGTTCTTATTGATGCTGCCAGTTTTCGAGAGGGCTGCTTTGCAGGGAGGCTTT